CTTTAGTGCGGCTCCCGTTCGTTGTGCGCCAGGCCCAGTACTGGGCGTTTGGCACCTGCCCTCTCACTCCACCTGCCGACCTAGCTGGTGAGGCGTCGGTATTGCTAGTGGGAAGCTCAGGCCCAGAGAGGTTCGGTGACTGGCCCAAGGTCACACAGCTGTTAAGTGACCCAGCCAGGGTGGCATAAAGACGCCAGAGCCTCTCTCAAACCCTCCAAGGGACGTGGGGGCGCTTTTCCGGCAGTAAACCGCTTTCAAACGCTCGGGTTACCCTAAGCGCCCGCCAGCCGGGCGCAGCCCCCCTCCGGCCCTCCCTCCCGGACTCGCATTCGCCCCCGCCCACCCGCCGCTCTCCCGCCGGCAGCTTGAGTCTCATCGAGTGCGGCCCGGTGCACACCGCCTTCCCCGAGAAGCTGGAGGGCGGCCTGGGCGGGGTGCTGGACCGCGCGGACGCCGAGACCCGCGACCTCTTCTCCCGCTACCTGAGCCACTCCGAGCAGATCTTTCTTGAGGCGGGGCAGGACCCGGAGGACGTGACCGAGGTGAGCGCAGGGCCGGACTGCGGGAGCGGGGGCAGCGCTCCGGTTCCCCAGCCCAGCCCCGGCCAGCGCGCCTCCTCCCGCCGCTGCAGGTCTTCCTCCAGGCGCTGCGCGCCCCGCGCCCGGCCCTGCGTTACTTCACCACCGAGCGCTTCCTGCCCCTGATACAGCTGCGCTTCTCCGACCCCAGCGGCTGCAGTTACGTCGCTGCTGCGCACCAAGCAGTGTTCGGCGACCAGGCCGCCGAGGGCTCAGACGGCGCCGGGGCGGAGGCCGGAGCCGGAGAACTGGGGGCACCTGAGCTCGGAGCTCCTCTTGCCGCCCCGAAATAAAGGCCTGGTTCGCCGCTGTCTCCCGCGCTCTCCTTTGCGGCCCCGGGTTGTGCGGTTTGGGGATGAAAAGGGGCTTTTCACTGCACCGCACTTGTGTGATCACTGGCGCGCGCGGCGGGTGGATGATCAGGAAAGAAGGTGTTAGCCCAGGTTATACCTACGGAAACCAAGGTCCAGAAAGGGAAGGAGCTAGCCCAAGGCCTCAAGTGCGCCTCAGGGCAGGGAGAGTGGTCCCTGGATTCCTGAGGGGTGTCTGCAGCAGTAGGAGTTAGGTGGACTTGGGTGCGGGGACAGTCGGCTTGTGACTTGGCTCCCACGAGTCCTGGGACCTTAGGCAACGTCCTACCCTCTCCGAGTCCATTCTCTTACCCGCAAAACGGGTATAATACCTATGTCATGGATTGTGATAAGAATTAATTGAGATAATGCCCAAAAGTGCTGGTATAGAAGTCTTAATAGCAGGCCCTGACTATTATTATTACTACTGGTGGTATTACTATTGTGATTATGTTCCCATGTGGAAGCCAGTTGTGTAAGGAAGAAACAAGGCTAAATGAGCCCAAAGGAGACAGCCCCACTCACCCCTCTCCTTGCCCTCTGCCCTAAGACAACACTCAGCAGGAGAGATCCCCCCTCGCCCAGAAGCTGCCTCTCACCAGAGGGTCAAGCGGAAGCTCCAGATCTGCCCTGTGGTCCACGTCCTCCTTCCGGAAGCCAGCAAAAGGAGCTGGAGTGGCAGCAGCCACTTAAAGGGCCTGCGGGGTTGCAGAGCAAATCTCCCTCTAACTTCCTCTGAGGTTGGGTGCTGGAGGAGGCGTGGAGATAGAGACTAGGTGAGGAGGTTGCAGGCAGAGGAAAGCAGGAGGGGTGCCGCAGGAGGGGCTTAGTAAAGAACATACATTAGCAGACTCATCAGGTACACAACACTCTGGATGATGGCACAGGTGCCTCCCCGCGTGGCAGTAATAATGTCCGAAGCCATCCTGTTTTGGAGGACAGCTTTCTCATTAGAGACCTAAGGACGGGCTTTGCTGGTTATCATTTAAGGCTTGCTGGATGCAGTTAGTTAGTAAGGGCACCTGTGTGTGCTGTAACATCCCCTGTCGGCTGGGGAGGCAACACTGTCAGTTGTGAGGATGGGGGTGGGGGCGGGGGCCGCGTGGCGGGATATGCCAGACCAGACCTTCACTTTCTCCCCTCTTTTTTTTTTTTTTTTGGCCACGTGGCTTGCGGAACCTTAATTCCTCAACCAGGGATGGAACCCATGCCCTCAGCATTGAAAGCTCAAAGTCCTAACCACTGGACCACCAGGGAATTCCCACCTTCTCCCGTCTTTTAATGGTGCATCTTCCATTCCAAGTGTAGCATGTTTCAACGACCAATCCCTCACTGGTTGGGAACTCCGATGCGTGTCCCCAGACTCCTTTGGCAGTTGCTTTGGGCATTGTTTAGAACACATAGGTCATGATGTTACTGCATTAACCAAGTCACCATATTTCAAGGGCGATCAGGTATCCTTGGCAATATGCCATCCCACCCAGGCTTTACAGTGGCTGTTTTTTCAATGCACCCAATCTGCTGTATCTACTGAAGGGTCAGTTGCTAGGGCTTGTACCCAGGCTAGGGCATCAGTTTTCTGATTGCCAGGGGATGTCAGTGCCTTATGAGCCAGGATGTGGAAGACAGTGAGGACTGCCTCAGACTCTTGCAGATGAACTCAGGTGTCTTTTCACACATCTTGTACAAGGGCTGATTTTTTTAAAAATTTATTTTATTTATTTTTGGCTGCACTGGGTCTTCATTGCTGTGTGTGGGCTTTCTCTAGTTGTGGCGAGCGGGGGCTACTCTTCGTTGTGGTGCACGGGCTTCTCATCGTGGTGGCTTCTCTTGTGGAGCACAGGCTCTAGGCACGCGGGCTGCGGTAGTTGTGGCACGCGTGCTCAGTAATTGTGGCTTGCGGACTCTAGAGCGCAGGCTCAGTAGTTGTGGCACGCGGGGCTTAGTTGCTCCGCGGCATGTGGGATCTTCCCGGACCAGGGCTTGAACCCTTGCACTGGTGGGCGGATTCTTAACCACTGCGCCACCAGGGAAACCCAAGGGCTGTTTTCTGATCATCCATCTCTCAGCTTCCCTTTGTCCAAGCCATAGGGTTAATCCCTTTAGAACAGCCCAACTGTTCTGAGTTCAGCCCATTGGCTGCTGCAGTTCGTTCCTGTTTCCATCCAGATGGTGTCAGTGTTGGGCAGAATAGCAGCTGCAGTTCATGTGGGTGGGTTGCCCCGACTAGACCCAACTGTATACCAGGCATCAGCGGGGATCCCTGCCCCTACCCCGCCTCTCTACAGACTGCAGGGGACACCCCAGGTATAGAGGCAGGGGAATTTGGAGGATCTACATACTCTTCAGGGCCTAGTAGCACTTGAATTTCTAGAGACAGTGGGCTGGCAGGCAGGGTGCCCCTCTGTTGCAAATGGGCCACTTAGTCAACGTGGGGGTTGAGCCATGGCAGAAGTGGGTCCATAGAACATAGTCTCAACCCCGCCCTTGATAGGAAGGGACGTTCTTACCATGATATGCTGTTCTTTCGTGAGAGGCTATAGCTGGTGGGGTGTTCTGTGTACATTGCGAGGAGCTGTTGCTCTATGAGGGGTACGTTGGGGTTTCTGTCCCCCCCCGGCCAGAGCTGGGACCAAAATCCTAAGGGTGCTCTCCTCTCCTGTTGTCTCTGCCACAGTGTGTTCCGAAGTCACAGACACATCTAACTTAAACGGCTGCCCTGCTTGGGAGGTGCCCAGAGCTGCGATCAGCTTCACAAGTACTTTTTCCATCTCAAAGGCAGCTTGCTGCCCTGACCCCCAGTTCCACGTTCGCCTTCTCTTCATCAGGCGGCATAAGGGATGGAGGCATTGTGCCAGGTGGGGAATAAAAGTCCCCCCAAACCCCAAAATCCCTGCAAAGGCTTGCACCTCTTTCTTTATATATATATATAAATTTATTTATTTACTTATTTTTGGCTGCGTTGGGTCTTCGTTGCTGCATGGGGGCTTTCTCTAGTTGTGGTGAGTGGGGGCTACTCTTCGTTGCGGTGCGCGGGCTTCTCATTGTGGTGGCTTCTCTTGTTGTGGAGCATGAGCTCTAGGCACGCAGGCTTCAGTAGTTGTGGCACGTGGGCTCAGTAGTTGTGGCTCGCGGGCTCTAGAGCGCAGGCTCAGTAGTAGTGGCACATGGGCTTAGCTTGTTGCGGAGCAAGGGCTCTAGGCATGCAGGCTTCAATAGTTGCACATGAGCTCAGTGGTTGTGGCTCACGGGCTCTAGAGCGCAGGCTCAGTAGTAGTGGCACATGGGCTTAGTTGCTCCGCGGCATGTGGGATCTTCCTGGACCAGGGCTCGAACCCGTGTCCCCTGCATTGGCAGGCGGACTCTTAACCACTGCGCCACCAGGGAAGTCCCGCTTGCACCTCTTTCATATTCTTAGGGGTTGGATAGGCTTGTACCTTATCAATCACAGCTTTTGGAACAATGCACGTCTTACCCCACCAAACAACTCCCAAAAACTTTACGGGGGTGCCTGGGCCTTGAATTTTCTGAGGGCTCACCACCCATCCTCGTCCTCACAGATGTTCCAGCAAAGTCTGCAGAAGGTCCTGCAGCAGAGGCAAGTCTTCACATGTTAACATCATCTCATCAATGTAATGAGCCCATTTTACTGATGTGGGGAAAGAGAATAGGGACAGGTCTTGGGCTACCATCCCATGCCATGTGGTGGGGCTGTGCAGGTGGCCTTGAGGAAGCACTTGAAAGGTCCATTGTTGCTCCTCTCACATGAAGGCAAACTGATGTTGTGACTCAGTGGCCAGGTGTAGACTGAAAAAAGCATTCGCTAAGTCAGGTACCGCATGGTATGTTCCTAGGATGGCGGCCAAGGTATTGAAGGCGGTGGCACTGTTGGGCACAGACACATGGATGGGGCTTGTTCAACTCTCCATAGTCCACGGTTGTCCGCCATGAGCCATCTGGCCTTTTTACCAGCCATACCAGGCTGTTGAACGTACTATGGGCAGAACGCACCATTCCCACTCAGTGCAGTTCTGGAATAGTTTCTTCTTTTCTTAAGCCCCACCCACCCAGGCAATTTATATTGTTTGACAGTTTCCACTCTTCCCCGGGGGTGGCAGGCTTACCGTTGTTCCCAGTTGGTGTTCCCCTCATCACTGGTTTGATTACTGTAACCCAGAGGCAGATTCGCAGACATAGGTTTGCAGAGCTTGACCTTGTAGGATATCAATGCCCACTATGTTCTCTGGTATTAGAGTGATAAAACTCATATTCTCTCTAGAAAAATGGTACAGATGAACCGGTCTTCAGGGCAGAAATAGGGACACAGATGTACAGCACAAACATATGGACACCAAGGGGGGAAAGCGGGGGTGGTGGTGGGATGAATTGGGAGATTAGGATTGACATATATACACTAATATATATAAAATGGATATCTAATAAGAACCTGCTGTATAAAAAATAAAATAAAATTCAAAAAACAAATCTCATATTCCTGGGGTGTGGAGGGGCAGGGAGAATGCCCAATTTGCTGTATGAAAAGGACTTTCCTGACTATAACCATTTGCGCTTTATAATTCAGTGGCGCTGAGGGGGCCAGAAAACTTCTGAGGGTTACTGTGTATTACAGTACATCCGGGGGAAACTCCCTGGCGGTCCAGTGGTTAGGACTCGGTGCTTTCACTGCTGTGGCCCGGGTTCAATCCCTGGTCGTGGAACTAATATCCAGCAAGCTGTGCAGCACAGCCAAAAAAAAAAAAAGGAAGGAAGAAAAAGATATTAGAGTACATCTGGCTCCAGTATCCCCCAGAGCTGTACTTTTTTTTTTTTTTTAATATTTTTTTTTTCCTTCCTTTTTTTTTTTTTTTAATATTTATTTATTTATTTGGCTGCACTGGGTCTTAGTTGTGGTATGCGGGGTCTAGCTCCCTGACCAGGGATCA